GCGCCCAGACTACGAATGGCAGATCCTATCTAGCCTAGACTACAATGCCGCTGATGACGTCAACAGCTTCCCAAGTATGAGCAGACCTCGGCCAATGCCGCACGCGTCAAGCACCAGGTATGTCTCTCGTATCACTCACAACCTCGTTCCCCAACTCACAGATGCCACTTGCACCCAAGGACCACCATGCGCCCCATCCAGCATACAGCAGCGCAGCTCGCCTATGGCTGCCTGCTCCTTCCAGCTTGCCCGTGAGCGCGTGAGCCTCGCAGGCAATAGCGCAGCAGCGCTTGCGCACAAAGCAGCCTGCGCCCGAATGCCCAATGCGTCGGCCGTCCCTTCCCTATATCGAAGTGGCCTGCTCCTGCGTGCTGTGCTGCGGTACTGGGCCCCCGGCCCAGAAGCTTCCGGTAGGCCCAGGGAGGCTGAGCCTCAGTCCGAAGTCAACAGGCCCAGGGCCTGTGGTGGTTACCCGCACCCAACTGCCCTGAGGCTCAGCCTTTGTTCAGTCCACGTTGTGTATCCGGCCCAGGCCCAGGGCCTGCCTCAGTTAGATGCAATGCAAGGCAGCCTGGGCCTGGACGCTTCCAAACAAACTGGCGCTGCGCAACTGCCTGAAATTTCCCCAGTTGCGTAGTGACCCCAAAAATGGCATGAGGGCCTCGGTCGTGCCTGCCTTCACTTAGGGCGGCCGACTGAGTGAAAAATAGGGTCCGTACCCAGTCTTCAGAGTTTGCCTCGATTTGGTACCACTTCACTTTCGTAGTCCGCACCGAAGCAGTGCTTTACCCCCTGGTCCCTGGATAGTGCAGTTAATTGCTGCGAGGCCCATTGTTGGCCTTGCAACTCGGACAACTTTGGTGCTTTGACTTCGGATGCCGATCCCTGAACCCATAACTTCTTCCAGAGCATAGCACTCTGGGAGAAAAATATAGATCAAAGGCAAAGTCTTCCCCCCCTTCCCATTCAAGCACACTTCCCACCCCCTTGGCTGCATTCGATTCGAGTATTGAACTGGACTACATGCAATATAGCGGGTGTGCGCAAGGCCTAACAACCCCCACGATACGAAATAGGAAAGTGCAATTTAATTGTCGGAGTTTTTTTAATGAATTCCTGACTCCTGCTGTCGCATACCATGACGGTGCAGACCAGAACAAGAACCGACCTCTCTCACATAGTACAAGATAGCGCAGCGGAAGGCTAATATACCAATGATCCAACCAATCAATGTTGCAATGCAGACCAAGCATACATCATCATCATTCCATGGTGTGAAGGGGCCTGGCGCTCACACAGGAAGAATGCGCCAGTCCCCCAACCATACACAGACGAAGAAGAGGGGGGGGGTTAGACGAAGAAGAGGGGAAGATGGGAATGTCGTCAACACCAAGTCTTCGGTACAGGTCCCAAATAATCCCTCGTTCAATGTCTCAATCCC